ACTGCTGTTTGCTTACTACAGGCCGCATCTCCTTTCGTTCCATCAAGAAGAATAGAGATTACATGCAGCATCGCACACACTGCAGCTGGCATTACCTCGCCCACCTGGCGGCTGCACGAGAGTTTGCGTATCTGAAGGCGCTGCACTCTCACGGCTTTCCAGTGCCAGAGCCGGTTGATACAAACCGGCATGCAGTACTCATGGAGTACATAGACGCAACTCCACTGACACAGGTGCGCGGTGAACGTACACCTGAAATGCAACTCAGGAAGCGTTGAGAGAACAAAAGAAAGCGACAGGGGAGCAGAGCGCAGAGCGCAGTAAAGGCTGGTGGTTGCACATGCAGCGAATACTTTTCTTTTTCAAGCAACGGAAATGAGTTTGCTTCGGAGGAAAGGGCTCACGGCCGCTGAGCAGAGGCGGAGGGCTCTCTGTCTCGCCGCTGCGTTTCTTACATGTGCTGCCTCAGCAGCTGTCTGTCTGCGTGCAGGTGAGGGAGCTGCAGGACCCACTGACGGTGCTGGAAAAGCTGATGAAACTCGTTGTTCGCCTCGCGCACTGCGGGCTCATTCATGGCGACTTCAACGAATTCAACCTCATGATCAGCGACAACGGGCGCATCACGATGATCGGTGAGACAATAAAATTACATAAATATTACGAAAATGTTCTAAAAACTCGAAAATGTTTGGAAAATACCGGAAGATCGCATGTGTTCAGCTTTCCTGTGTTCCGGTGTATGCGCAGCTCTAGCAGTTCATGTTTTTTTGTTTCTTTCTGCTTTCTGCATCTGCTTCAACAGATCTTCCTCAGATGGTATCAATATATCACCCAAATGCTGCTCTTTACTTTGACCGCGATGTTCAGTGCATAAAGCGGCTTTTTGAAAGGAAATTTTTGGTGGATGTCACGACGGTTCCGCGGTAAGTGAAGAGCGATGAGATGAGATCCGCGTGTTTCTTTCTGCCTTCTGCTAGCATGAGAATAATTATCATGTTTTTTTCGAATTATATTTTGATTAAATTATTCCTTTTGTTTATTTCCTGCGTTTTTCCCAGCTTTGAAGACGTCATAGACCGCCGGTCCAGGCCGCCGGCGGAGGCGAAGCGAGCTGCCGGGGAGCCAGACGAAGAAGCAGCAGAAGAAGGAGCAGAAGAAAGAGAATCTTCAGTGGATTTAATTTCTATTTCTGATGGTCTCAGTGAACAGCAAGTGAAACTACTTGAATCTGCATTGGCAGAGCGGCGCGAGGCCGAGAGCAGCGGCTCTGAGGAAAGCGATTCAGAAACTGTTAGTGAGGGGTCCGATGCTGCAGTATTTCATGAAGAAGAAACAGATGAAGAGAAAGAAATATCAGCAGCATATCAGACAGAAGAAAAAGAAAAGTGTGAAAAACGAGAAATCAATGGGCTTTCTGATTCAGATGAAGACCACCAACAAACACGAAGCAGCAGAGGCTCTGACAGCAGCAGTAAGCTGCGCTGTCTCACGAACTTATATTTATCTTTTGTATTTCTCTTTCTTGCTGCTGTTGTATATGCATTTGTATTATACTGCGTGGCTAAGTTGAATACATACAATATGAAGACTACAGTGAAATATATCCTGGTGTATATATTAATATATCGATGCAATATTACGAAATTAAATTTATTTTTTATAAAAGAATTCTTTTTTTAAAATGTTTTTTAGTTTATTTAACTTGAATATATACATATATATATATAATATATATATATATATATATATAATATATATATA